GCTTACTCTCCCAGTTTGGTGTTTCGAAGCAGATTAGACATCTTCCCTGTGGATCGACACCCTAAGTCCTACAACGTACATATGTGCACTCTCAGACATTAGGTTTTTATAAACACAAGCTCTAAGTGCTCAAGCCAAAGCTCTCTGCTCGCAGGTCTCTCGGTGAGGCTGCTTACTCGTCAACTGCTCCTTCTTGGCTTCTAACATATGCACTTTGTTGGCACTAAAAAAAAGGGTATTCAATCCACTAGTGCATTACATATTCTGAATCGAAACAAGAAAGAGCTCATAACCACTGCTTGTGAAGAGCTCTCCTCAAATGAAGGTGCACCTACTGTTACTATCAGTGACGTCTCTCTCAGGTAAAGTTTTGATCAGGCAGAAGGCTACGTCTTGTACTCTTGCAAGTAGGGAGTCTGGAATGGTTTTTCAGTGAGAGGTTAGGAGTTGATTTAAAACTCCAGACCAACGGGCTTGCAAAAGACTTGCAACCCTGAGGCCCATCACATCTCTTGATCTTGGAAGTTTTTCTTAACTTGTTTCTGTTATCAACATAAGTTTCAATAGGGTTGCTCCAATCATCAAGGTTATGTGTTGTGCAAGACCTTTGAGGATTTTGCAATCCAAAGTGATCCATTATATGATAAAGACATTTCGTAACATATGAGTCTTCTTGTTTGACCTTAGGACGTCAAGATTTGGTTAGGAGTCTTCTGTTTCTGGTACTTCCAGCTAGATTAGTAAAAAAAGGTGTGAGCCTCATCTACAGATCTAGTAGAAAAATCTCCATTGCTAGAGGTATCAAAAGATGTTTTTAACTCTTCATTAACCCCTTGGTAAAAGATCGTCAATAAGCGTTCTTCAGAAAATCCATGGTGTGGACAATCTCTCTGATAGTCTATGAATCTTTCCCAAGCATCATAGAGGTCTTCTGTGTCTTCCTGCTGAACTTTTTGTATCTCGTTCCTTAAAAGATTGGAACATTCTCTAGTGTAAAAGTTACTTAAGAAAGCCTCTCTACACTCTTTTCACGTCTTTATGGACACAAGTGGCGAAGTTTTAAGTCATTTACTAGCTCTACCAGTCAAAGAAAATTGAAAAAGATTGCACATATGGTAATCTACATTTTTCGATATGGTTGAACACAGTTCTTCAAATGATTCAGTATGATCTATTGAGTGTTCAGTTGGATAACCACTAAATTGTTGTTGTTTAAGTAAACTAATGTAGTGTACCTTAGCTTCAGAATATCCATCCTCAGGTAAGGGTGGTCGAATTGCACATCTATCTTCAAAGAAATTGTGAGCTGCCTCGCACTCACTAATCAGTTGTTCTCCTTTCTTGGTATGTTTTGGTTCTCCAATCGCCTCATTGCTATCATCGATTGGGTCATTGAGCTAGTCATTAGATGGATCACCATATAGAGGAGGTGGCTTTTCAGCGAGAGGGTCAGGACTATTATCCTGATCATCCATCAAAAAGTACCTGAAAAATGCAAAGAAAAATAAAAAATAAAGAAAAGGTATATAGAATTAAGCAGAGATTTGCAACGAAAGAGATCAAAATCCCCGGAAACGGTGCCAAAAACTTGGTGCGAGCTAGGGTTAGGGGGTCGCAGATTAAGTTTTAAATTTATAGAACCCTAGTACCCTGCAAGTGCACAGTTGTGCGATGTAGTACTTAGGGTATCAATCCACAGGGATTATGAGTTTTCAGTGCAAATCAATCAGGGACTTAAGACTAATATAACAAAAAAAATGGGGTTTTGGTTTTGGTGTCACTAAATCTAAAATGCAAAATGAAATAGAAGGTTGTAAAACAATAGAAACTAGACGCTGGGCTTAAAGGTATTAGAAGGGTTCATTAACTGATCTAATGATAGACAAACAAATCGATAAAGGTAATCAACTAGTAAGGTTTGCAAAATCGAATAGACACGGGTATGATTAGCCAACTCTCGTCACCCTAATCAACTAATTACTCAAACTCGACAAGTAGCTTTCGTCCCTTGCCGTGAATGAGATCATGCATTATTAACAGAATTCATCTATGCTCACGATTCTCTATAGGTAGTTTTAGTCTCCTATAAAGATTTCACTCGTGTCCCTTCTATGTCAGGTAATCCAATACAACACTCTTGGGGCTCGAATTAAACCTACGATCAGTTTCTAAGTGGCCAGCAAAGAAAACTTGCATTAAGAACAGCAACGAACGAAGGAATCCTAGAATTCATTGAATGAAGACATGAATTCCATTTGAAAAATCTCTTGATAACCTAACTGGGAAACTAGTTAGACATAGCTGAGTTCAACATCACAAAAGTATTTAAGGTTTATGTAAATTGAAATAAAGAAAAGTAAAGAAACGAAAAACATGGTGAAGAAGGAGATTCGTTGGTGCCCCTCTTGGTGGCTCCTCTTCAAAGTTGGCTTCTCTCTATCTTGGTAAACTCGGCAAAATCGGGCACAACCCTCTTTGAATGACCTAAAAGAGGTATATATAGTGTCTGGAGTCTTCGGGAATATCTAAGATTTGCAGGACTAATGACAAAAATGACTTGAGCTCTAAAATGGGCTTCTGAGGCTTGGAAATAGGCTCACCGCCGTTGATAAAGTTGTGGCCGCAGATAATAGACCTCCGACCGCGAGTGGGAGTGATCTCGCCTTCCGAACTATGTTGATTAGCTTTCAGTGCACCAAGCATATCTAGAGATCTAACCGTTGGATTGCTTCCATTCCAATTGTATTGAAAGCTGTTTATGTTTTACAACGTGTGTCCAAATTTGGGGATGATCAGACGGTGGAAAAGTCTTCATTTGTTGCCAAACTTTCAAAGGCCTGAATTTATTCAAAAATTATACTTTTGCTCCAAAATGCACTCATTTTGTCCAAATATCCTGAAAACTCTTTTGAAACTCTAAATATGGAAATCACTTAAAAACTGTTGAAAACTAAGTTAAGACACCTGAATAACATCTTATCATCCATAAAAGTGGTCAAAATACGGTGTTATCAAGAAGGTAATACCAAATGATGCCAAAAAATTCTTGATCCATAAGAGCTCTTGTACCGTCAAAAGTAATGCAAGATATTCTGATTCAGTACTTGAATGGTAAATGAGTTTCTGCTTCTGTGTTTTTCAAGAGATAGGAGAAACTTGTTCATGATTATTTGTTATGCGACAACCAGACCAGTCAGAATCACACCACGCAGTAATGGTAACGTCCGTATAAGCACGAAGTAAAATTCCTTGGCTAGGAGTCCCTTTCAAGTAACGTACAACACGTAAAGCATCTTCCCAATGTGCTTGTTTTGGATTTTTCCTAAACTGAGACAGCACATGAACTGAATACGAGATATCCGAACAAGTCACCACCAAGTATATTAATCGACCTACTATATGATGATAAGGAGCATCATTTTGTAAGATTGGACCATGAGCCAACACCAAACGGTGATTCTGTTCAATGGGAAAAGCCTGGTGGTTTAGCTGCAAGAAGGCCCCTATCATTCGTAATCTCAAGCGTATACTTGCATTGACATAGATAGATTGCAGTGGGATTCCGAGAAAGTTCCTAACCAAGAAAATATTTCGAAACAAGATCCTTCATTCTAAAAATTTACTCAAGTAGTCTTTGAAGGAAGCAAGGATAGACATGGAGCTCCCAGAAATAATAAGATCATTAACATACACGTGGACTTGTAGATGATCCCTCCGTTATCCTAATTGAATAAAGAGTAATCGGTTATAGATTGAATAAACCCATAATCATGTAACACTGTAGCAAGCTTTTCGAACCAACATGGTGTCTTCTTCAACCAAATATAATGACTTGCGCAATCGACAAACTTTGTTGTTGTTCGAAGCATGAAAACCTGGAGGAGGACACATATAAACCACTTCATTCAAGTCACCATGAAGGAAAGCGTTATGAACGTCCATTTGATGGACTTCCCCGTTCTGAGATGTAGCAATCTGCAAAAATGTTCTCACGGTAGTCATCTTTGAGGCAAAAGTTTTCTTATAGTGATCACCTTCGACTTGAGTGTTTCCAAGAACAGCAAAGCCTTCTTGTATCGTTCCAAAGAACCATTAGATTTGAATTTGAGCTTAAAAAAGCACTTACAGCCTATGGCATGCTTTCCAGGAGAAAGATCTTCTACTGTCCATGTATTATTTTCCTTAAGAGCCTCGTATTCATCACGAACAGCAAGACGCCAATTTTCATCCAGAACAGCATCTTCAAAGGATCGCAGCACAAAAACAGAGGAGATCGCAGAAAGAAAATGATGATGTTTGTCAGCAAAATTTGAGTAATCCACATAAAACTCAAACCCGTAGGGAGCAACGATAGGACTTTGAACAACATGAGATATCTCTTGGAGGATAACATCAGAGTACTTCTTTGGTAATTGCTTATGTCGAAGACCACAACCTAATTCAACAATCTGGGATTCAGTTGTAGTAGACGGTAGATCTGGTAAGGCACCTGGTGAATCAGAAGGCGACGAAAGGTCTGAGTCTCGTGATGGAGAAGTCGACTCTCGTGAAGAAGAAGAAGTCGTCAGAACCGGTTCAATTTTAATGTTCGGTCAATTTCAGGATCAATGGCAGGAGAAGGAACCGAGCCTGAATCAGAAGAAGGAACCAGTTCAATTTCAGTAGATGTGGTAGGTGTAATAACTGGGTTCCAATTAGAAATGTGTCCTGGTTCAATTTCAGGAGACAAAACAGCTAATTTCTTTGTAATCGAGGAAACAAGGTCAGCTGGCGAAACAAAAACACTTGGAGGAGGTATGAATGGCGACTCATTGAGAGAAGCAAGAACATCCGAGGAGAGAGATAACGACGACAAATCCTTGAAAACTTCTCAGAGGAGATGTAGCGAAGGCAAACTCTGATTCACAAAAAATCACATATCGACTCGCAAATATTTTTCCAGAGTCAGGATCAAAATCACGTAACCTTTTTGTACCAAGAGGATAGCTGATGAACACTCCTTTGATACTGCATGAAGCAAACTTATCACCCTTGTAATTCTGATTGTGAGCATAACACAGACACCCAAAGACACGTAAATGAGTCAGGCGGTGGCTGATTGTATAGACACTCAAATGGTAATTTTCCATCCAAAAGCGGTGTAGGAGTGTGGATAATCAAATAAGCAACTGTCAAGATGCATTCATCCCAAAACTCAATAGGTAGAGAAGCTTGAAATCGCAAAGCTTCGACAACATTCAAGATATGTCTATGCTTACATTCGGCACAACCGTTTTGTTGTGGTGTACCAACACAAGAGGTTTTGTGCATAATTCCTTTCTCTCAAAAATAAGAAGTCATGCACATGAATTCCGTGCCATTATCGCGGCAAAGTGTTTTGAAATGAGTGTCAAAATATCGTTCAATAAGAACAACAAAGTCTTGTAGAATGTGTTAAACATATTGCTTAGTGGGTAACAAATAGAGTCAAATGCTTCTTGTATAGTCATCAACGAGAGTAAGAAAATATCTAGCACCACAGCGAGCTGGAGTGCGATAGGGACTCCACAAATCAAAATGAACCAAATCAAACAGAGCTGTAGTTTTATTATAACTTGTAGGAAAAGAATATCGAGTTTGTTTGGTATGGACACAAGTCTCACACACTTTATTCGACAAAGCAACACCACTAGATAAATCCAACATAGGTAGTAAATCAAAAACTTTAGAAGAGGGTTGTCCTAAGGGTTGGTGCCATATATCTGCGGTCACACGTTGCACTTGATTCATTGCTCCTTCGAACTCCATCCCTCGAAGAAAGTAAAGCCCGTCCAACTGTTCAGCCACTCCAATCAGCATCTTGCTAATGCGGTCCTAAATCTGGCAAATCTTATCAGTAATCTGAAAGAGACAAGTTTTTTGCCCAGTCAACTGAGAAACCAAGATCAGATGGCATTGCAAACCATCAAAAAACAACACATTCTGAACAGTAACAACT